ATTGTGTACCGCTGTACATTTTGATTTTAAAAAAAAATAGCTAAAATGGGTGATCTTATGGGACACAACCAAAAAAAATCAATCCTCCTGGATATGCCCGTAACCTTACTTACCTTGTAGTGCCCATCATGTATTGCTGTTTGTTTAAACAGTAAAAATTTAGACAGTTTCTCCAACCAAAAAAGTGTTTTCATAAAATACTGCTTTTGGTTAGAGTAATCCTTACTGAGATGGTCTGGTCCCAAAAATGTATAAATGAAGAAACTCTGAAAAACTCTTCCATTTAATCACAGTTCAATTTCTCCTTGCAGCCCAATCTTCCATGGCTGTCACTTCCCCCAAGGACAGGGACTTTACAGAATTGACACTAGCCAGCCTGGAATTTTGTTGTGGGCTAACTAGTGATGCTGTTGAAAGTGCAGTTACACATATTAGGGATCGACAGATTATCGGTCTGGCTGATATTCTGAATCTTCAGCAGTATTTGCATATAAAGATACAGATTTATGCAGGGCCGCCATCGGGGAGACAGTTGTCCGGGGGGGGGCCCACAGCACACTCTTACTTCACTTCCTTTCAGCTCCCCTGTCTAAAACTCGCGAGTCCCGCGGCCAAAGTGTTGCCGAGCGTTACCATGGCAACGCTCCGCGCGGCACGTCACAAGAGTTACAGGGGAGCTGCTGGGAAGGGAAGTGAGTGTTGCTGGCCCCCTCTGCAGAGTCCAAGCCACCGGACCACTAGGGAATCCCATATCCCCCCTCCCTGGCCAGGTAAGAAGCAGGGAGGGGGGGACTAAAACAAAATGTTATAAAATTTAATATTTTAAAAATGCCTCTCCACCCCCATTTTACACACATTACTTACACACACTGCATTTATTATATACACACTACACACACTGCATTCACTAATCAAATACTCACTGCATCCACTACACACACTGCATTCGTAAAAACATAAATTGACTGGCATGTATATTTTGTGCATTTATCTTAATTTTTTTTTGCAAATAATCATGTTCTGTAGATTTGTGTAGAAATAGTTTAATTTTTTTCAAAACTGTAAATGTACAAAGTACCGGTAAGTTATCGGCTATCTGCCTGAAAGTTCAGATTATCAGTATCTGCTCTAAAAAAAAAAACAAAAAAAAAAAACACCGGTCGATCCCTAACACATTTACTTTTCATGGTTTATTGAATTGTGTAAATTCCAAGAAAATTAGTTTCCCTTCAGTAGCGGGAATTTTCATGCTATCCTACGGTTGCAAAGAATGTCTCTGTGCAGAAGCTCCCGAGATGTAACTCTTTCCCTTAGAGCATACAGTGACTGTGCACGGAATTTTCAAATACTCTGAAAACGAATGTTCCATCAGCCGAGGTAGCTTGTAAAACTCACGCAGTGAGAATCAATAGTGATGGCAACTGACTTCTGTCTCTGTCTGTCTCTGCCTGCCCATTGTTTTTGACCTTGTCTAGCATGTGTTGACATCCGGAACAAGTTGTGGTGTCTTAATTTTTTACTTTTTTAAGCTGAATAAATTTCATGTTCATCTAGTTTATTTTTTATTTTTTCCTAGATTCAGTTCAAGGCGTTGTCGATCAAGATCTTCAGAGTCCAGTTCTAGTTCATGTAGCTCCTCTAGTTCCTCCTCGTGCTCCTCCAGATCATGCTCGTCATCCTCTAGTCGATCTCGCTCACGATCCAGATCCCGGCAGAGGTATAGGAGTCGAAGCAGGAGGTAAATCCGTCCCTTTTCATATATTTCATGCTAAAATTATCAAAAAAAAATCTTTATTTTCAAAGCACAGATTTTTGTTTAACATTTATACTGTTATGCCATTACTAAGAGCAGTACTGTTTGGGAGAGCATGTTGTGAAGCAGGAGATCTGGACCTTGGGATTCGACTTGGGGACATTTCTTCACTTTTGTGGGTTTGTTTGTTTTTTTTGGCAGATGTGAATCTCGGGAAAGATACAGCAGGCAGAGGATACAGCACAAGGAACGAGCTATAGTAAGTACCCAGAAGTGTTTTTTCTTCACTCCAATTGTAAAGAGATTGAATAGTTTGTTATTCTTTGTCCAGTGAGACTTGCTGCTGCTTTAATGCTACATTGTCACATGGATAAAATGAAATTACCCAGAACCTTGTTTACTTCAGGAGTCAACTTTTGGCAGAACGTTGCAAAGCATTTCCTACTTTGTCTCGAATGCCTTCTGCTTTCATTAGAAATGTTACTGCGTTCTGAAATTTTTAGAAAGGTAGAATCTTTCTGAAAACGTCATACAGGGTGACGCTGCCGCTTTTAACTTCAGCCAAGTCTGACCCGGCTACAGATTACCTGCTCATTGCGCTGAATGGTAATGTTTACAGAAGGCATGTCAAGCATTCTACCCTCAGGTCTTACCCGACGCTCTCCCTGCTATAGAGCAGCCACTTCTATCTTGTGAACAGATCTAGAGTTCAGGAAATGCTTCTAAAATGTTTACCCTGTTATTTCAATTTTATGTGATATAAAAAAAGGTTTATTTAATCCAGACTTGCGTTATTCCTTTGTCTCCAGCTGACGCCCTAGGAAGGTGGAGGTGGATCAACTTTAGGGTTAAAGACACACTGTAGTGTTAGAAATGCAGGTAGTTCCCGACTTTACGAACTAATTTGTAAAGTAGCCTAGTTCATAAAGTGAGAACTAATTTCCCATACACAATGTAATAAACATGGGTTCCCTTCCTGACCAAGACATTTTACCATTGAAAACCTAAATTCTACAAAATGAAAACATAGCAAATACATATGTGGTAGGAACCGCAAAGGAAAACCTACCATACTGAAATCATAATCAGTTATCTTCCTTTCTCAATGACCTGTTGAATGGGTCCACCCTCAATGGTTTGGAACGTGTTAAAGGCTGCACCTCACTTGTTTCTGGCTCATTTGAGACACTCCATGTGTATCATTCACCACCACCTTCCAAGCCCCTCCATGTATCCAGTTTGCCCTCCAGGCCCTCCACGCGTCTCCTTTCCCCGCCCTCCCCATAGGAATGCAGTGCATCAATGCTTTCCTATTGGATTTTGCGTGACGCTGGATAAATGTTTGCAAACCATGAGAACGTCCGTTGTTTCACAGTCAACTGATAGACAACCACTAGAGGGAGTCTTAACACTGCAATATAAACATTGTACTTTCTCTAAAACATTGCAGGGCTAAGGGGAACAGGGATACCGCACCTAGACCACTTCAATGAGCTGAAGTTGTCTAGGTGCCTATAGTGGTCTTTTAATATCTTAAATGATATGACAGTTTAACACTTGGTTCTGCACACCTTGTTTAAAACGCATTTATTTTTTTGCTGTTATTGGTTTTATACTTTTGCCATCAGCATGCAGGCATAAATAAAAGCACTCAAAGCAGTGAGAACAAAATGGGCTATCAATGTTGGCTGTGGTGTTGGACATGAGTTTCTGCATTCCAAACTTGATTTCCCTCTGTGCCTTGGAGCTAATGGATTCTCAGAGCAGAATTCACCCTAAACATTAAGGCTAATTTGTATTCTATAACCGGACCAGTAGTGAAGTGTTGCACACCGGTATTCGTAACACCGGAGCTCCGTGGTAGAGGTCCGCTAACCTCCAAACGTGGAGAGCCACAGGCTGCACAGTGTAGGAAGAAAATTCAGATCGGTTTATTGTGGAATTAAGAGCAAAACACAAGATTTTTGACTGCAAGGCCTTAATCCGTGTATTCAATAACTGCTGTCCAGCACAGTAAGAATATTCTCCCTTATCTTGCTCTTTCTATCTGACTGGTTTCAATTAACGATACGGAGATGTATGCACTTGTGAAAACTAATAGACATTTCCCCCCCCCCCTTTTTAGGAGGAAAGGAGAGTCGTGTACATCGGCAAAATCAACAACCGCATGACGCGATCGGAGTTGAAAAGGAGATTTTCCGTTTTTGGGGACATAGAGGAATGTACCATTCACTTCAGGGAACACGGGTGAGAATTTGATCCTACATAATGCCTTGTAATTTATTTTATAATCACCTCTAAAATTTGTGGAATACAGGGCAGATAGCTGGCTACTTTTCATTTCCTCCTGAAACAAAATAGGAATCTTCATGTTAAAGGATAGGATTGATGAACATCTAAAAACACATGGATTTCAAGATCAGAGTCAACATGGGTTTACTTCAGGGAGATCATGCCAAACTAATCTTATTGATTTTTTTTTTTTTGATTGGGTAACTAAAATTATAGATCAGGGTGGTGCAGTAGACATTGCTTACCTAGATTTCAGTAAGGCTTTTGACACTGTTGCACATAGAAGGTTTATCAATAAACTGCAATCTTTAAGTTTGGATTCCAATATTGTTGAATGGGTAAGGCAGTGGTTGAGTGACAGGCAACAGAGGGTTGTAGTTAATGGAATATATTCGAAGCTTGGACTTGTCACCAGTGGGGTACCTCAGGGATCTGTACTTGGACCCATTCTCTTTAATATTTGTATTAGTGATATTGCAGAAGGTCTTGATGGTAAGGTATGTCTTTTGCTGATGATACTAAGATATGTAACAGGGTTGATGTTCCAGGAGGGATAAGCCAAATGACAAATGATTTAGGTAAACTAGAAAAATGGTCAGAATTGTGGCAACTGACATTTAATGTGGATAAGTGCAAGATAATGCATCTTGGACGTAAAAACCCAAGGGCAGAGTACAGAATATTTGATAGAGTTCTAACCTCAACATATGAGGAAAGGGATTTAGGGGTGATTATTTCTGATGACTTAAAGGTAGGTAGACAATGTAATAGAGCAGCAGGAAATGCTAGCAGAATGCTTGGTTGTATAGGAGAGGTATTAGCAGTAGAAAGAGGGAAGTGCTCATGCCATTGTACAGACCTCACTTGGAGTATTGTACACAGTACTGGAGACCGTATCTTCAGAAGGATATTGATACCTTAGAGAGGGTTCAGAGAAGGGCTACTAAACTAGTTCATGGATTGCGGGATAAAACTTACCAGGAAAGGTTAAAGGATCTTAACATGTATAGCTTGGAGGAAAGACGAAACAGGGGGGATATGATAGAAACATTTAAATATATAAAGGGAATCAACACAGTAAAGGAGACTATTTAAAAGAAGAAACTACCACAACAAGAGGATATAGAGGGACAAAGGTTTAAAAATATCAGGAAGTATTACTTTACTGAGAGGGTAGTGGATGCATGGAATAGCCTTCCAGCTGAAGTGGTAGAGGTTAACACAGTAAAGGAGTTTAAGCATGCGTGGGATAGGCATAAGGCTATCCCAACTATAAGATAAGGCTAGGGACTAATGAAAGTATTTAGAAAATTGGGCAGACTAGATGGGCCGAATGGTTCTTATCTGCCGTCACATTCTATGTTTCTATGTTTCAAATTGGTTCATGTTTGTAGGAGCCTTTATAGGGAAATACAGTTTGACACTTTGAATACATTTTAGCATACCAGAAATCGAAGTTTGTTTTAAAATCAAGCACATAACATTTCAGTATATATCATCTATTGTGCCAGCAAGTGTTCAAATAAGGACATGGTCCCTAGAGCCCAAGAAAGACCTGGCACTCCTGCACAACCTCTACATTATCAGCTGTGTAGTTGCTTTTGATGAAAATGTCTGTCTGGGTTTTTTAATAGGGGAAAATAGTGCTGCTCTTCAACATGCTGTCTTCATTGCAAGAATATTGGTGTCAAAGAGGGGCCCCTTGCTTGGGTAATCGGGACTGGTTGCATAGGAGTTAGATGGGAACACGATGTGTTAAACTAAATCTAAATATACATAAAGATTGCAGCAATGTTGGAGGGGCTAAAAAGTTAGTAACTCAAAACAATGAAATGTTTAGTTTATCACTGACAGATTCACTAATACTTTTATGCTATTCTATATAACTGATCTTTGTCCCTTTCTGCCTAGAAACCTTTTAGTAGAATTTGGTCACTTCAACATTATGGCTTGTGTACAACCTGGTCTTTACACTCACCAGCCTGCTTTATTTCACTTGCAGTGACAACTATGGCTTTGTTACTTACCGTTACACCGGAGAGGCCTTCACCGCCATCGAGAATGGCCATAAGCTGCGTCTCCCTGATGAACTCCCCTTTGATCTCTGCTTTGGTGGGAGGCGGCAATTCTGTAAAAGTAACTACGCTGACTTGGGTAAGAAACCTCCTATTCCATTTATTGCTTGCTGTGTTCACTTCCAAACATAGATCTCTATTCACGTATATGACTGCCTTAGTAGCCATACAGATCCTCCATTCATAAATGTGTCTGACATATCTTATAAAGGACAAATTCTGCCTATATAAAGATGTAATACAAAAAAACCTACCTCTGTACTTCACACAGACGCAGCACATATTCCAATGGTCTTATTTGTATCTTAAAGGGACTGTGTAGGCACCCAGTTCATTGAAGTGGTCTGGGTGCGAACTCACATCACCTAAATCCTGAGTATGTAATTTATTGCTGTTTTTATAAACTGCAGTAATTACCTGCTTGGGATAACTCCTCCTCTAGTGGCTGTCTACCAGCAAACTGAATAATGCTTTCTTTTGGGAAATTCCAAATGCGAGCTCATGCGCATTGTCTCCCCACGAGCTGAATTCTGCGGGGGAGAAGCGTGGGCGGAGCAGATTTTCCCTTTAATTGTAGATGCTCTCATTTTGACATGCTTATTTCCTTGCTTTCCAGACACACTGACACTCGTTAGCATGGTGACACAAACAACCCCAGAACATTTTAGAACACATTGTAGTATATTGGCCTCCAGGATGGTGGTGACATTGCCTTAGCAGACAGCTAGCGATTCCGGTGACTGTCTCCCTCTGCAATCAGGCATCCTGGCTTTTCAAGCTATTGCCTCATGAGTGGGGTTTCCAGGGCATGTACTCCATTCTATATAGAGGCCACATGCTGGCTGTGGTTGATGGACATATCAATTTCCTAGACTGCTTTCCCCACGATTGCTTCCTCTGTGATACCTCCACATCACTATTGACTATATATCATTAATATTGCTGCTCCCAGCAAGACTAGCTTTCTGGTGGCACTTTAAATGGCTACTGTGAATGATATGGTGGCCATCCCAAACAGGTTTAATGTAAGTGAATGGCCTGTCCTCTTAGCTATAATAGGGCCCATCATTACTTCTAACTGTCAGTTATGTGTGGAATTTGCATGTTAGTAATTTATTTATTTTTTCTCCCTCTTTTCCATTGTAACCAATATTTTGTAGTTATATCAAGCTCAGAACCTGGTTAAATCTTCCTGTCTTCATTTTCACAGATTCCAATCGTGATGATTATGATCCTGCATCCATGAAGAGTAAATTTGAAGAGCTTGATTTTGACACATTATTAAAACAAGCGCAGAAGATCCATCGGAGGTAACATTAGGCCTAAGCCACATCAAGCGATGAAATCTATATAGAAAATATCTATTAACCAAATGAATTTACCTCAAAACACTGGAGATGGCCATTTACTAAACAAAAGCATGACTCCCCCTTTTATTGAGGGTGGTAGTGTCTATATTTTCTTTTTCCAATAAAACACAAAAATGATGATAAAAATAAGACCATTAGATTTTTTTTTTAATGACTCTTTTTTTGTTTATTTTTTAAACCTATTTAACAACTGCTAAATATGGATTCTCAAAATTGTAAGGAATAGTATATAAAGTGGAAAGCTAAGGTAAAATCATTAAAAAAAAAAAAAAAAAAAAAATTAAATTAAACATGCTTTTGTGTTTATTTTGTCTGAATCTTTTTTATTTGTGTGAATGAATTCAGTTGGAATCCACTCTTCTGATTTCAATTAAAACTGAAGTGAGGGAATAGTTTTAATTTTTTTTATTTTTTTTTATTTTTTTTACCCCTCCCTAAACTATTGGTCACGGTGACTAGTTCTCCTTGATTCAGACACAGTCTGGCAGTGGGAAAAGAAATCCCAGGCAGCAACACTTGAGGGTCCTCACTGTGCAGACGGATGCAGGGTATTGCGAGAGCGCTTCTGCAATGTTGACGCCACAGGATGCCAAGTGATTCTATCCTGTCGCCTTCCAACCAGTATTTCTCCAGCTTAACCTTGCTACCAGTGTTGAAAGGGCTGGGTCAGTCATGTTCCTGCACTGAATGTTGATCATGCTTATTCCTTCCATCTATGTGCTTTCAATCTATCACAACACTGTAGATCATTAATTATTTGCTAGTTGGCTGCCCAGCCTGTATGAATACATAATGATCTTTTTGGGCAAATCTATAAAAGTAGTTCATCTACAAGATCCATTATTTGCCTGCAACGCTGTCCTAATAAAAGTGGATAATCTGCTGTATGTGGTTTGTAGAAATAAAATATGAAGCGTACACAGGTGACGATCATTTTGTTTGTCTCTTGTGTAGGCATCCTTCTCTCCCCTCAATGTACCTTAAAACCAATCATAACTCCCCCTGCCCTATTCTTTTCTTCTTTTGAAGTTCACACTGTCCGTCTATTTAAACCAACTCCTTTAAGAATTGCTATCATCTACCGCCCCCCAGTTATCCTAGACTATTCATTGAGCACTTTTCTTCCTGGCTTCCCCATTTCCTCTCATCTAGCACTCCTTCCTTTATTCTTGGGGATTTCAATATCCCAATCAATAACCCCAATTGCACTGATGCCTCTCGTCTGCCCTCTGTAACCTCCTCCTTTGGCCTTATGCAATGGTCCAATTTAGCAACCCATACAGCAGGAAACACTCTTGATCTTGCCTTCACTAACCTTTGTACTGCCTCTAATCTCTCCAATATTCCTTTTCCTCTATCTGACCACCATCTGCTGACTTTTGACATTGGCATACCTAAGACCCAATTGACACCACCGTCTGAACATCACTCATGTGGGGATATTTATGGGATAATAATAGTAACAGTGAGAATTGCCCACTAATTCAATTCTCAGATCCCAAAGAACGTTTATCGTGTTAAGTGGAATGTATTTCATATAATATCACAATGTATAAAAATAGATTTTATTTATGATAACCAATAATTAATAACATGTAACATGCATGACAATAATCAATGAATATTCAGTATAAAATGATATGCAATACAAAGAAATGGGTATTACGTTTCAATGGCTAAACGGCATTATCTGTCAAGACTTTGACGATTTATGAGGTATCCTTAACACAGACTTAAGTGAAACATTTCACAGCGAAGAACAGAATTCCTCAGAGTGCAGCGTAAGGTCGTAAAGTTTAGCAGACAGTTAGAATAACCCTTTCAATGCTGGCTAGATCTCCTAGGTAATTAAGATCTATTCTTATGTAATTTTAAATAAAATAACATTTAACCCAGTTCATTAGTCATTTCCTGAAATCATCCAATTAGAGAATCTACCATATTATATAAGCAAATTTTAATTTTAATTTGTCTAAAAGATATCTTATCTTAATTTAGAGCAAATCAATACACCTGGATAAAAACAGCGGTAAGCTAACACGTGATAATATCACATCAATATATAATTATTCTTAATTCCACCTGCAGAATGGAATGTTTATAACTATATATCCTTTAGTTAACTAAGATTTCTTAATATGGAAATCTGACCGTGCTTTATCCTAGTCATATATCATGCTATTAATACATTTTAATTAAATGAAACCAGTATAATTACCAGTTGAGTAGATATTTCATCCGATTGGTAGTCTCAGGAACTTATTTGGATGTCTCTCTCTGCATGGAGGTTGGAGTCCCCAAACTTCCAATTCCTCTCTCCTCTTTTTCATTGCATCTCTTGCATATCTTGCATTTTCTTGGATCTCTCTATCTTCCCTTTGTCTTAACTTTTAAAGGGCCAGACTCTCTGTACGTCATCAGTTGATAACCCAATAGAAGCACTAGAGGTGTGGTTATCTTCCAGATCGCAAATTAGTTATTTGGTCTATAGAGGGCAGTCTTGTCCCACTAAACATACCTATCCAGGAAAGAGTTAACTTTTCCTGGTGGCTATTTTGACATCATTTTGCGTTATCTTTATAGCGCCATAATTTAAAATTTCAAAGGGTTTCTTAAATTTTGTCCAGACTTAGCGTCTGCAATTCCTGCCATAATTTCTGATATGACAGATCATGAACTAAGTTTACCCTTTTCCATACAATGGTACCTTATATATATAGACAGTTAAATATTAAATTATTTAATCTTCTCTGTCACAATCGTCTGGGTTTAGATTTGATTATATTCTTATCACTTGTTTATACTATGCATTCCTTAGCTCTGGCAAAGAGGCCAGTCTTACAGAAAGAATTTTGTGTCTTTTTGTTAATTTGAAATAACAAAATGGAGTCTGATCTGTTCAGAGTGGCTCAGAATATACACTTTTAGTTTCTATCATAGCACAAAATGTCTGCCGATATAAATACTCTGACACTGACATAACCCCCCTTTAGTGCATTTCATAGCCAAAATTAATTTAGCTTATGAATAAGCACTATAGAAGTTACCAGACATATTGTGCAATCACATCATTTCTAACATAGTACATTATTTTCATTTGAAAAATGTCTTTGGGAGTTACATATGGTATGGTCAATAAAAAGCAAATCTCCATACGTTCCGGATTAATTAAGAGAGGTATAGCGCTCCCCATCTCAAAGGCCAGATTTAATTGCATAGGCTCAATTGTCTCTCCATCCACATTGGCAAGCATCGCATGAACAATATCCTTGGATACAAAGTACAGAGGTATGCGTCCCCCTGCCAATTCGATCATTCCAGTTTGCACTTCGTCAAGAAAAGCAAGTGTGTGGAACAATATTGGGTCATGCAGAAATAGAAGTTCACGCTTAAATAAGTCATGACTTTGGTGCAACTCAGTGGTTTTGGCAATTAACTCCGAATGCAAATTCGTTGTAACAACTGTGTCTTCCACAATAGTTAACACGTCTTGGAGAAGTGTTCTTTGCTGGTTTATCATCTGATGAATATCGTTAATGTGTTGCTTTAGCGCATAGATTTCCATATCCAGCTTTTGGACAGTAATAGAGTTGGCTGCAGACATTCCAGTTGCGACAACTGCACCGACAGTGGCACAAACTAATGCAACAATTATGGCGGTGAGGAACCTTTTGGGTCGGTTGCTCATCGGAATAGAACTGGATACAAATGGTTTCCGGGCTTGCTCCAAGATGTTTCGCACACGGTCCTGTGCTCTTTGGAGGTGCATCTGGTACCAAGTCTGTAACTCAGGAAGCTGCATCGATGAAATGTTGTATGCCTTCTCGATGGAAATCTTGGGGTCCAAGCTGACGAACACACGTCGGGTCAGGATCCTCTTCTCCGTTAAGATGAACCCTGGTGTCTCTTGAATCAGGATGCCGGAGGATGGTCCCATCTCTGCGATCGGGTCGGTCCGTAGCTCTTGGCACAGGAGCAGTACGATCCAGAAACACGTCACATCCTTCTTGGACATCTTTCGACAGTCACGGATCAGGAACTCGTTTCAGACTTATCTACTAATGATTCAAGGTTTGTTAAGCATACAAACTTATAACAGTGTGACATCACTTGGCCTAGGACAACACATTATTACGATTCATCAACATATGTGTTCTGTCTAATTCTATTTTTATAACTTCATCCCTCACTACATTTATTACTGACTCCTCAGTAATTCGCCTATAGCAGTTAAACAAGCTAGTAACCTGCTTATAAAATGTAGTTATTGGATGGCAAGGAAATGGTTAATGACATGAACGTACATGAGATCATGGCACATCACAACATTTCACATCATACTATACCACGTGAATCAAGCATTCATCCAGTTTAGTCGTTCACCCTTCTGCGTCTGAATCCACACCTATAATCCTTAATTGAGATTTAGGATGACAAGCACGCAACTGGTTAATGTGAACCCACTTTTCAATAAAATCACCATCCTTAGGAATTTTTATCTTGTACGCTACTGGGGAAATTTTGTCAATGATGACATATGGTCCTTTCCAAGAAGGTAAAAATTTATTTTCCTTAACTTGATGTCGCGCAAAGTTATACAGATAGACTTGATCTGTGATCTCATATTCCTTTTTCGTGGTTTTTAGATCGTAATAGGTCTTAACCCCTGTCGCTGCTTTTTCTAGATTCTTTTGGGCAAAAGCAAACGCATGCTGTAAATGCCTGCGCAAATCTTCGATATACTGATGCGTAGTGGCAGCATTGATCAAATTATGATCTGAAGTACGGTATAGTAAATGCTGTGGTAAAACCATCTTTCTTCCTGTCATCAATTCAAAAGGTGACAATTTGGTAGCAGTGCTAGGTGTAGCTCTAATCGCCATTAAAACTAGGGGCAATTTAATGTCCCAGTCTTTACCAGACTCCTTAACATACTACTTCAGAATATTAACGATAGACTGGTTATATCGCTCTACCCCCCCGCTAGACGCAGCGCGGTATGCAATATGTAGCTTTCGTTTAACACCTAGAATGTTCCACATCTTAGCCATTACTTCGCTGGTAAAGTGACTACCTCTGTCTGACTCAATTCTTTGAGGCAGACCGAACCTGGAAAAGACATGGTTAATCAACAAAGTGGCGCACACGGTACTCGTGTTCTCTTTACAAGGCAAACATTCTATCCACTTTGTGTACATACATGTAACGGTTAACATGTATTTGTTACCTCTTGAAGATCTTGTTACAGGACCTATAAAGTCAATTTGAATATCAGACCAGGGTAATGACACCCCCCTCTTCTGAAGTGGTGCACGATGGGTTGGACCATGGGGTTGATATTGCGGACAAATCAAGCATCCCTGACAGTATGTCTTAACATCCCTTAACATGTGTGGCCAATATGCATAATCACGCAATATCTCATATGTGATCTTATCACCACGATGCCCAGATGTAGGTGCATCATGTGCGTGTTGGAGCATTAACCCTCTGTATACAGTTGGGACTATCCATTGTTGTATACCATGTTTAGAAGTTCTGACCAGTAACCCATCCATGATACTAAATTGGACTTTATATCTCATCAAGATTCGTAAATCTTCATTATCTTTGCAATCCTCATCTGTGATGGGATTGGCAGTAGGGTCTTCTATATGTTTATAGAATATGCCTATGACGGGATCATTCTTTTGACTAGTAATCAGGTCCTCATTAGGAGCTTCTTGACTCCATTGCACGACATTTAAGTCGGCATTATCTCTAGCCTGTCGTCTAGTTATGGCTTCAACATGAATTGAACCCATAAGATCATCAATGTTTAGGGTTTCACCATTGATGGCAGCTTGTTTTGCCAGTGAATCGGCTAAGTCATTACCATCCTTATCAATACCTTCTATTTTAGAATGGCCTTTGGTTTTCTTCCAATATATGGTTAAACCATTTTTCTTAACCAACTCATCAATTTTACAAAACAATTTCCCATGTTTAACAGGTTTGTTATTGCTTTTCAGCATTTGGTTACGTTTCCAGCTAGGCAGATATTCGACGAAACTGTTGCGAACATAGTTAGAATCAGTTATAATAACAAATTCTTTGATACCATATTCTATTGCCATTTGAATGGTCTTATATACTGCACAGAGTTCGGCTATCTGACTGCTTTTGGGACCAATATTGTATCCTATAGATACATTGGGATAATCACCTGTCCAGGCGATTCCGATACCTGCAACTAACTTCCGTTCAGCACCAGCGGCGTGGTGATATGAACAACCATCAATGTATACCCACGGTAGTGGTCGACAGTATTCCTCGTCATAAACTTTATAAGGAGATAGCAATTGCTCTTCTAGGAAGTCATCTCCGGTGTCATTATCATCCAGAGATGGAGCAGTACAGTCATGTAATTCTGCTAAACCTTGGGCAACTGGGCTTCTCTTATTATGTTTATAACGGACTTCTAACGGCCATCCCTGTAAGGATAGAGTCCATGCAGTAATCCGACTGTTAGAGAGATTACCGTCTCTAATTCTTTCACTCTGCAGATACTGTAGAGGTTGGTGAGCTGTTTCTACAATTATTTTCTCACCTTGGATATAGCTACGAAAATTTTGTAGTGCCCAGACAGTCGACAATAACGCCTTCTCACACGTGTTGAATTTAACTTCAACAGGTGACAAAGTCTTGCTAGCATATGCAATAACTTTGTTTAAACTGTCCTGCTTCTGATACAGAACAGCACTAATGCTTAAATCGGTATATCCTGTCTCCAGATAAAAGGGTTTACCCCCCTCTGGGTATGCTAAACAGGGTGCCTGAGTGAGCTTCCTCCTCAGTTCACTTACCGCATGGTCCTGAGGCTCCCCCCAGTTCCAGGTAGTTTCCTTTTTAAGCAGGTGTAAGCATAGGCGTGCGCAGCCTATTGCATTAGGGTGTGCACCCTAAAGCACAAACATACGCCGCGTGTGTGTGTGTATATATATATATATATATACACATATATATATATATATATATATATATATATATATATATACATATATATATTACTATTCACAGACACACACACTCACAGACACACTCACACACACTGACACACACATACTCACACACTTACAGCACACACACTCACACTGACACACACACACACTGACACACACACTCACAGACACATACTCACACACTCACACTGACACACACTCACAGACACACACTGACACATACTCACACACTCACTGACACACACACTCACAGACACATACTCACACATTTACACACAATCACAGACACACACACACACACACTGACACACTCACTGACTGAAACATACTCACACACTCACTGACACACACTCACACTCACAGACACACACACACACTGACACACTCACACACACAAATTATTATATTTAAAAAAAATTTTTTAAATGTCCACCCAGCCTCCTACCTGGAGTGCTGGTGGACTTGTTCCTGGGGTCCAGTGGGGGAAGGCGCCTTTCTCCAGCTCAGCCGCGGCGAGGGAGCTCTCTGCTCTCTGCTTCCTCTCGCCGCGCGGGCTGTCTGCTGTAGCTGGGAGCCGGAATATGACGTCATATTCCGGCTCCCGGCATCAGCGCGCGGCGAGAGGAAGCAGAGAGCTCCCTCGCCGCGGCTGAACTGCAGGGTGGGGGGGAATCATCACCTCTTGCCCTCCCATGACAGGGGCAAGAGGTGAAACAGGGGACACTGAGTGCCTGCAGGAACAGCGTTCCTGCTCAAAAAAAGTGCAGGAACGCTGTTCCTGCAGGACTCAAACCATAGGCGTGCGCACGGGGATTAGGGTGTGCCCAGGCACACCCCGTGCGCACGCCTATGGGTGTAAGAGTGGTTTAGTTATTTCTGCATAGTTATCTATAAACTTACAGGAGTAATCAGTCATACCAAGGAACGATCTTAATTCCCTGATGTTTGAAGGTGTTTTAGCCTTAATTACGGCTTCAACCTTCTTCCTCTGGGGATTTAATCCTTCAGAAGTTACCTCATGTCCGAGGAAATTGACATGGGTGCGACACCATTGTGCCTTTTGTAAAGACAGTTTAATCCCTGCCTCCCTTAACTGAGTGAGAACATGTCTTATCTCTAAGATATGCTTATCAAAGGAAGTGCTTTTCAGCAAGACATCGTCGACATATGATAACGTTCCTCTCTCGAGTGCATCAGGCATAGCTTTATGCATGAACACAGCGAATTCATGACCAGAGTTTATGTAACCGAAAGGCATACGGGTCCAGGTATACTGCTGCTTTCCAAATGTGAAGGCCAATTTGTATTGGTCTTCATTATGGACTGGTACAGTCCAATATCCCTGCGCACAGTCGATAGCAGTGAATATTTTGGATCCTTGCATTCGTACCAAACATTTGTCTATGTATGGCGTGGCCAACCAGACATATAGACGCGTTTATTTAGCTGTCGTAAGTCAGCACATAAACGCCATTGTCCATTAGGTTTCAGAATCCCCAAGATTGGATTATTATACGAACTGTGCACTGGACGTATAATGCCCCTTTCCTTTAAATTCTGAATGATGTCTTGTAGACCATCATATGACGCTAATGGGAGTCTATATTGTTTGATAAATACAGGTGGTAAATTTGGATCAGTTTGTATTCTGGCTACGTGGAGGTTAGTTAACCCACAGTCGTAGGAATCTTTGGCAAAAATATCTTGGAATTCCATTAGGATTTCCTTTAGCTGTTGCCGCTCAGCATCATTGGAGCAACCGTCAGCTAAAGATATTTGCTCTTCTAGCCTTTCCTGAAATCCTGGAAAGATTTCAGGCTGGCCTATCTCATAAGCTTCTTCAAGCCTAGAAGTTAGGTCAGTTCGGTGTTGACTTACCTTTTCTCTTTGGTCGAGATACTCTTGTGATTCCTGCTCATCGAGCGGATGATCGAAGGTGATAGATGCTTCTTCGATTTTACACGAGCCTTCTTCAACGTTGAAGGGATACACAGATAGGATAGTGAATAATCCTTCTGGGGAGGAATGGAATATTTGATCGACAATTTCATCCTCAGTTAAGTATTCTTCAGGGATGAGGCCTATAATTTGGTTTTGGAAACCAAATGTATAGTACTCAGCATCCAATGCTAGACCTAATAATGTTCCTTTTGGTAAAGTAACACTATTGGGTGTAACATTGTTGACCATGATATAGGTGGGATTCTTACCAATACTTACCATTGGTGTATGTGTTACCACCATCCCTAATTGTTGTATCCTGTTGGATAAACAGATTAGGGCATCAGAGTTTTCTAATCTCTGACCCTCCTTGACCTGTAGGGGTAAAGGAAAGTTACTTCTCCCTTGGGGAATGGTTATGTCATCAGGTACTTGGATACTTACCGCATATGGGAGTATTTGTCCTGATTTCAGGGCGTTTTCCTCGTGTAGGTATCCACAAGGATTACCTTTTAACCTTGTCCACAAGTTGGAATTAATCAGGTCAAGGTGTATGGCAAAGCGATGTATGACATCATTGCCAACGTAAACCTGATAGCGAGGTTCGTCTATCACTAGGATTAAATGTTTAACTGTCTTATTTCCGATGGAAATAGATAGTAAACATTTTGCTATCACATTGTGACTCTCTGATTCGCCATCCAGATTCTGGATCCACCTGTCATGTGGGGAAGCGTACCTGATCATTTTAGGATTAGCGATCTGCTTTAACAGACTTCTGCTAATATAGCTGTTCTCACTCTGTAAGTCCAGCTTTGCATTCCTACTTCTTCCTAAGTCATTTATTTGCATAGGAAAGAATAAGTTGTTATTAACCCTTTCAATTCTGGCAAGGAATTGAGCATGACCTGCCAGATCTACAGATTCAACATAGTCCCTGTGGAGAGAAATGGTTAAAACATCACCTTCCAGAGAGACATTCTGGATCCTCTCTGGAGCAATTCTTATGGAATGCTCATCTACAGGTGCGATTGCATCATTCACCTGCAGGATAGTCACGTCAGGTGACTGACTATTCCTAAAATGTACCTCAATTGAGTCAGGTCTTTCTTCTATCACATGGCAGTTACGATCAGATCGAACGTGTGATTTCTCATAGGTTATCGGAACCTTAGCTTGTGACCATACAATTCCATTCACACAGTCAATAATTGTGTTAAGTCTTCTGAGTATGTCTATACCCAGAATAAGTCAGTCATAGGGGAGATCTACCACTATTACCGGGTGTCTAAAGGTTTTGTTACCCAATTTAAACTTTAACCATGTATTGCCAATAACATGAAGGGCATTTCCTCCTACACTCAACAGAGCATTGGGGAAATCTCTTAGCTTCGGCTTATCCGTTGCTAAGTCCATTACCTGCTGGAAGTAGGTATTGGACAAGATAGTGGCTTGTGAACCAGTATCTATTAACCCTTTAAAAGGCTGGGGTAACGAATCCTGTATTTCTACAGACATGTAGTACCTTCCTTCATGTTCTTCTAATTCACATAAGAATTTAGAATGTGTCAACATATTACTTGTTTTCCATACATTACCGGTCACAGCAGTAGTTTCTACCTGTACTGAGGAATGCTCAGTCTTACCCACAGGCCCATCCTTTTTAGGAACATCTTGAACTATCAAGCGGGAACTAGTGGTCGGCATCTCATCAGTTAACCCTTTCAGGTCTGGATCCTGGAAACTAGTGGCTGCTGGGGCTACTTTAGCCTTTGGCTGAAATGAAAAAACAGAGGAACACGTTGCGCCTCCTTCACCCGGAAGTGAAGTGACGGTATAGGCAATAGGTTTTCTAACACAACTATTGTTTATTTGACTATGAGTACCTGGAAAGGAAACAGGGTTAGGTATTACATCTACTGATAACCTAGCCTGTTTAGTCACAGTGGCTATTATTGCTGCGGCACCTGTTGTTGCTGCGGTTGCACAGGTAGTTCTGCAATTGGAGCTATCCCTAAAAAAGGATTGAGAGCAAAGACTTGGTTGATCTTTGTAATTTCCTCCATTAATTTGCCCATCTGGTCTGTCAATTGACCAACCTGACGACGCAAATTA